TTGCGGTTGTACTCTCTGCCCTTCAGCAGGTCGTGCACGGCCACGGTGCGCCCGTAGTAGTTGATGTCGTCGCAGCGCTGGCCGTTGGCGAAGACCTGGACGCGCTGGACGAAGCAGGCGGGGTTGGGCGTGGCCGGGGCCAGCGGGTTGGTGCCGTCCGTGTTCCTGACGCGGAAGGCGATCTTGATGGACTCGGGGTCGATGAAGGACGTGCCGCTGGTCAGCGGGATGCGGCAGACCCTAGAGGTTGTGGGGGAGAAGGAGCTCAGCGAGCTGGGGAAGTACTGCACGTCATGCCGCGCCGTCACGTAGCTGGTGTTGCTTGTTTTCAGCTTGTAGTCCAGGCTCTGCATCAGCTCATCCTGGGCTCCGGCGGTGACTACCTCCATGCTTCTTTATATACACGCATTTTGACTCGTACGGCGAAGGAAAACTATTACTCCAGTGCCTACATTGATGTAGGCACTGGAGTAATAGAGTTTTTGTGTGCAAAACCGTGCAAAAAAGCTATTAGTCCAGGGTGTATATTCATATACGGCCTGAAGAATAGCATTTTTGTTGTGCAAAAACCGTGCAAAAATAAACTCTCCCCGAGGAGAGTTTTATTTTATTTTTTTTACGCAGCCTCAATGTCTCGCGCCAGCTGGTCAAAGCTGGGCGGAGGCAGGCTCCGGCGCCCGGAACTGGAGCTCGCCCGCGAGCTCGGCTGGGACTGGGGCAGGGCCACGGGGTTCAGGCCCCAGGAGAAGGGGCGCGGCGTGTTGTTGGACTGCGCCTGCGCGGAAGCCGGACTGCGAGGAGGCGCGGCTGCTTGCGGGGCTGCCGGACGTGCTGCTGCCGAGCGCAGCGTGAAGTGCTGAGGCTGCGTGGCGTCGTTCATGTTGTTGGCGGACCGGACGTCCTGCACGGCCGCGTCCTCGCTGCCCTGCTGAGGCCGGAAGAGCGTGTTCTCGAGGACCCAGCCCGTGCCGCGGGCGAGGCCGTAGGCTGCGCCGCCTGCGAGTCCCACGGCCAGCCCCGCCGTTGCCGCCGCGCCAACTCCCGCCGTGGCAGCCATCGCTCCAGCAACCTCTCCCGCTGTGGGTGCGAGGGCTGCTGCTCCTTCTGCCAGGCCTCCCAGGTAACCAAAGGCTCCGCCCACGCCCTCTGCGGCAACGGCTACCTCTCCCTCCTCCGCTGCCACGGCCGCCGTCTCCTCAACGGCCTGCGCCGCGCCGCGCTCCACCTCCTGCGCGCGCTGCCCCGCCTCGTCCAGGAGGCGCTCCACGTCACTGGGCCGGCCGATGATCTGCGGTGGTGGCTGCGGCTGCGGCCCTGGGCGGGGCAATACATTTAGGCGGACGTACTCAGCAGCGTCCTGGGGGAGCTGGGAGCGCAGCTGCCAGGCTGCGCGAACACCTTCCGCCTGGCGCCAGTCCTGCAGCTCGAGCCTAACCCACACCCGGGCATAGCGCCGGAACCCGAGCGAGGCGATGGCAGCTCGCCTGCTAGACGCTCCCCTGCCGGCCGGCGGAGGGGCGGCGCCCGCCATCATGTCGAGTTGGCGGACGCTGCGCTGCAGCGCGGTCTTCGTGCCCTCGATGACGTGGACCTCGCTGCAACCCTCCGCGTCCGCACGCCGACATTGCAACGCGTGCCAGGCTGGATGCGCGGCCTGCTTGCTTTTGCGCTCCGAAGCGGCCTCCGGTTGATCCGGGACGCGCCGGGGAAACTGTTCCTGCTGGCTCCCAGGATGCTGCTGTCCCGGCTGCATGGCCAAGCGCGGATCCCCCCAGCTGAGCTCGAGCGAAGAGCAAGCTTGTTCAGGGCGGGCGAGTGGGCCCAGCTGCTGCCGCCGGAGCGGGCCCCGGCTGGAGCCAGATCCGGCCCGCCCCCGCCTGACTCGCTTGAGGGGAGGGGCGAGCGGGCTGCGGCGTTGGCGCACTTAGGAGAACTCTCGGCTGCGGCCCGTGCACTGACGGCGGAGCCGCTGGCACCAGGCAACGAGGAGCTCGAACTCCGGGATCCCGCCCGCAGACCGCAGAGCCCGCGAGTGCCAATCCCTGAAGCTGTTCTCCAACACCAGCCGCACGAGCCAGTGAGGCTGTCATGGGGCGCTTTCGTCAACAACTTGCGCCGCGCTCGCCGAGGTGCGGCCCCTGGCCCGTCGGGCTGCACCAACGAGCATTTACGCCTGCTCCTGGATTCAGAGGAGGACATGCAATTGCTCCACCACGCCGCGCAGAGGCTTGCGCTGGCGGACGTCCCCGAAGTCATCGCCACCGCGCTTCGCTTGGGCCGCATGGTGGCGCTGCGCAAGCCGAACGGTCGAGTCCGCGGCTTGGTCATGGGGGACACCTTCCGCCGGCTGGTGGCCCGGACGTCGCAACAGTTTGCAGCCTCCTTTGATGCAGCTTGCCGGCCCTTCCAGTTCGCGCTCGGGACTCGGGCCGGAACGGAGGCTGCTGCCCGGGCCGTTCGCGCCCTGTGTGAGCGGGACCCGCGTGCGACGGTCGTGAGCATAGATGGCGTCGGGGCCTATGACCATGTCCATCGAGCCAGCATGCTGGGGGGCCTCGCGGGTGACAACGCGCTCGCCCCGTTGCTCCCCTTCGCTCGTTTGTTCTACGCGGAAAGCAGCACGTACCTCTGGTACGACGACGCGGGCATGCCGCACAGCGTTGTCCCATGCCAGCCCTGTACGCGCTGGGGCAGCGGCGCTGCAGGCGGCCTCTGCCACCTTGCTCCCCGGGGAGACCGTGTTCGCCTACCTCGACGACGTGTGCGCCGTGTGCCCACCGGAGCGTGTGTGTGCGGTGGCCGGCGTTGCTCGTGTTGTGTTGCAGGAGCATGCGGGCATAGAGGTGCACCTTGGGAAGACGCGGATCTGGAACGCGGCTGGAGAAGAACCGGCCGGCACCAGTGCGCTCCAAGGGCCGGGCGGGGCTGACGTCTGGGTTGGCGCCTGGACGCTCCCGCCCGAGCGGCGTGGCCTGGTTGTTTTGGGCACCCCCGTTGGCCATGCCAACTTCGTCCAGGACTATCTGCAACAGAAGCGCGCCGAGCATCAACGGCTGCTCGACCGCATCCCTTGCGTGCCCGATTTGCAGGCGGCGTGGCTGCTGCTCCTCTTCCGCGCGCGGCCACGGTGCAACTACTTGCTGAGAGCGTTGCCGCCGGCTGAGACAGCTGCGTATGCCGCTGGCCATGACGATGCGCTGGCAGGCTTTGAGCCACTTGCTCGCCGGAGTCGGAGCTGACGGCTGCACGGTGCCAGAGGGCGCTGAGCTGGGTGTGCTGCAGCTGCGGCGAGCGCAGTTGCCCCTGGTGCACGGCGGCCTCGGCTTGCGTGCGGCGCATAGCGAGCGCTTTGCGGCGCACATCCTGGGCCGACAGCCTCCCGGTTCTGCGGGAGCGTCTGCCGGCGCTTGGGGCAGACCTTCTGGCTGCGCTGAGCGCAGGCGGAGGCGGGCTGCCGTGTGCGGCCCAAGCTGTTCGGGCGGCACTGACGCTGCCGCCGGGCTTCATCAGGCCCACGTGGCAGGAACTCTGGGACGGGGTTGCGCCGGGCCAGGTGCCGGGCGAGCCCGGGCATTTCCTCCGAGGATGGCAAAGAGAGGCCACCACGCTGACCGACGTGGCGGCGCGACACGCTGTTTTCAGACCTTGACCTTGCGTCGCGCGCGTGTTGTCGCAGGCGGGGCCTCAGGCGGGGAGAGCCCTGCATGTTTTGCCCACGGCCGCAGAGCTCCGGCTGCCTAGCGAGCTGTTCTGCATAATCCTCCTCCGCCGCTTGCGCATGCCCCTTCCCGCATCTGCGCGCGCCTGCCGCTGCGGGCGCCCCGCCGATGCTTTGGGTGACCATGTCGCTGCCTGCCCGACGTCCGGCGTGCTACGGACCAGGGCTGTACCGGTTGAGCGGGCGATCGCGCGTGTCTGCCGTGAGGCGGGGGGGCGGGTGGCCATGCATGTCCGAGTGGCGGAGATGAACGTGGATGTCCCGGTCTCGGATGCACGGCGCATCGAGATCCTGGCGTCTGCGTTGCCCGTGTGGCATGGCGCTCAGGTTGCCATTGACGCCACGATGGTCAGCCCACTCGGAAGGGATGGCCAGCCCAGAGGCAGCAGTGCCAGACAAGCTGGGGCTGTGCTTGAGCAAGCGGCGAGGCGAAAATGGGAGACGACTTACCCGGAGCTGCTTACGGCACGGCGGTGCCGGCTCGTCGTCTTCGGCATCGAGGTCGGCGGCCGGTGGAACGGCGAGGCGCGGGATTTGCTCCGCGCCCTCGCCCGTGCCAAAGCGAGGGAGCGGCCTCAGTGGCTGCGTGCCTCAGCGTTGCAGGCCTTTCACCAGCGCTGGTCCGGCGTTGTTGCCGTTGCAGCGCAGCGGGCCCTCGCCGCCACCCTCGCTCGCCTGCCTAGCGCGGGCCAGGATGCCTTGGATGGAGCGCCGCCCTTGCCCGAGGTGCTAGCGGCCGCGCCTGCGGCCCGGCTGAGAAGCCTCGCCGCGGAACGGCCTGGTTCCGAGGGCTGATGGGCTTCTGGGGTTGTAGAGCGCGTTTCACCTAGGCCTAGTCCACGGCGTTTCACATTCGCATGCGGGGAAAAAAATCAACATCCACATGGCTCATGTTGTCACCACTTGCAGCAGTAATCGATTATCATCTTCGTATGTTATTTTCATCGTCTCATGGGCCGTTTTGACCGAAAGGTAGGGCGAATCGCCCGATCCAAGGGTTTTTTTTGTGTCGCATGCTGTTCTTTCCTTCAGCTGTGCTCGTGTGTCCAATGTCTATCGATCATGGCTATTGTATAAATTCGCTTGTGGGACCAAAGTGAGACTGATCCATCCGCGAGTTCACCTGGCAGTGAATCATAATCCCGTGACAAACCCTGGGCAACTTTTGCCCTTCCGTATGGAACGTGAATGGACATTTGAGTTGGAGGCAGGGCACAATGCATGAGACAGAAGAAGACTTGGAGAGAGATTCCTTTTGAATGCGCAACCGATCCGCACTCGTAGTTTTGCAAAAGCCTCAAGTCTTAGCTAGCATGCTCTAGCTTAGTTCAAACGATGGGTTCTGAGGTGGAGTCCATTATTCAAGCGATGGGTTCTGAGGTGGAATCCATTCAAGTTCGACTGGTCGAAGTGCCCTTGGCCCAGCAATACCGCCTTGCTTATGCCGTGTTGGAACGCAAGACCTTCGTGGTGGTCAAGTTGATCGCTCGTGATGGGACGATAGGCTGGGGTGAAGCAGCTCCTTTGCCTCCTTTGACTGATGAGAGTGTCCAGACAGTTCTGGATGTGATTCGGGTATATCTGTCACCTGTGATTCTGGGACAGTCAGCATTGGACGTGAATCGTCTCAACTCGGACATGGATAAAGCCATTCCCGGCCACTTGATGGCGAAAGGGGCACTGGACATGGCGCTCTGGGATCTGGTTGGGCACAGCTTGAATCAGCCCATCCATCGTCTGTTGGGAGGGGCTTTGCACCATCGATTCCCCCTTCTCTGGCCCATTGGCAGTGTTTCTGTGCAGGAAACAGTGCAGACGATGGTGGAGAAGAGCAAGCTTGGTTTCAAGACCTTCATGATCAAAGTTGCCCCCGACCCGCTCGCCAATCAAGTTGACTTAAAGATGCAGATCCAACGAATTCATGCCATTCGTCGCCAGTTTCAGTTTCCAGAGTTTCGATTGAATGTGGACGCGAATCAGTGTCTGAACCTGGGCCAAGCCCTTCGATTGGCTGAGGAACTGTCCAAACTGGATGTGGATTTCTTGGAACAACCTTTGCCTCGTGCTCAAGACTCATGGGCTTTGCCTCGTTTGAAAGCAGCATGTCCAGGTCTTGCTCTCTCAGCTGATGAAAGCCTTCGTTCCCTTGACGATGTGGCAGCTCTGGCGTCTGCACATGCGTACGACGTCTTCTCGATCAAGGTGTCCAAGAATGGGGGCATTTCTCGCGCCAGAGACATGATGGCTGTGGCCAAAGCCCATGGCGTTGCGGTGTTGGCCAACTCCATGGTCGAGCTGGGCCTCTCCCAGGCGGCTGGGCTTCAATTGGCCGCAACGTGTCCGAACCTGGTCCCTGGGGGCCAATGCTTCATGAGCACCTTGCGAATGGCATGTGATATCACCAATTTCAGCGACTATATCAAGAATGGAGAAGTGGAAGTGCCTGGAAAGCCTGGGTTGGGGGTGGACGTGCTTGAAGATCGGTTGGATGAGCTGACCATTCACGTGGAGCAGTTTAGCTGCTAGCTGCTTCGCGGACGCTGCGCGTCTGCAACCTCCCTGTTCCTCACGCCAGAATTTTGCCGCCCTTCGGGGCAAGGTTTTTGTCTGGCCCACCTTCGAACTTCAAAGGGTGGTCCCCAGATTTTTGCGCAAGTCCGAATGTCTTCGGGCCTGCCTTGCATTGCGCGTTTCCCCACCTTCAAAGAATGATGTTCCGAAACTGGAATATCCTCGGGCCTGTTGCGTTCCGCTTTCACCTCGCGAAGCGAGGGAGGAGGCGTGAGCCGAAGAATGAATAGGTGAGAGCAAGCTCCACGACGAGCATATAGGGTCTTCCTGTTCGGTTTGCTAGACTCATTTGCCCAGGCTGCCCTGCTCGGGCAGTTACCGCTATGGTCTGTGGAACCTACCTGAACCCTCAAAAATCCCTTAAGACCTTTTTCCAGCCCCAAAATTGTGGGGTGAAATCCCTTTTTTTGGGTAGTTTGGGGGGTCCAGGTAGTTACCAACTAAAGTGGCAGTTCTGGAAGCACTGGGGTGTAGTTCTGGAACAGGGAGGGGTGGTCTTGCAGCCAAGGGCTTTGAGACGGGCGATTCACTTCTGGGGTTTTTGGATCACATTGATCCGGACCGTTGGCGATCCACACGTTCCAAGCAAAGCGCCAGAAGCTGAAACAGAAGTCTGCCTTCTCCCTTCCTGCAGTCAGCTGGCTCGTGTTGAAACGCCCCGAGTTAAGCTCGAGTGTCCAGCTTGCTGCTTGCTTGGCAGCGGAGATGGACATGATTGCGTCTTTGTGTTCCAATCTGTTTGTATCCTTGTGTTTTACAATGATTGCCACTGACTCTGTGTTCTAAAATGAACTTTTGCCCTGCACATGGGGCTGACTTCCCCTGTGGCAACCATCTTGTGTTGTTCGGATCCCCTTCTCTAGCTCATGCCTGTATTTGGCCGGCGGGCTTGCCAGGCTTGACCTCTTCAATTGTTGGGTGCGCTGTTGTGTCATCCCGCGTGAGTCCGCAAGTCCGCAAGCGCTACTGAGTTGATTTCGCGGTTCATGGCTCAACAAGAGAACTATGTGTTGTTGCATGCCAGTGACAAAGCCTGTTGAGTAGCTTGCTGCACCCGAGATCGTCAAAAAACAGAATCCAAGCACCGGCAGCAGCATCTGAATCAGAACGTGCGCAGGTAGGCTGATGCTACTCTGATTTTGCGCCCAACGAAGACCCAGCGCGAGTTCTGAATCGCTTTGAGCCTGTTGCATGGCATGGCTGCTGGACCACTTCCAGCTTGCGGCTTCGCCGTGGATGCCAGCAAGAAAGGCGGGGGCCGCAGGGGCCCTCGGTGATGATCTCAGCAAACAACTTGGCGCGGGGGATTCTCACAATGGTGGTTGGTGGTGTTGTGTCCTTGCGGGTTCCCTTTGAAACCAGCCCTCAAATGGTTGTTGTGCCAACTGCTTGGGGTTGGAGGCTTGTTGCCAAAGGCGTGCAGGTGGAACGCCCTCAATTTTCGGGTTGGAGGGAGTTAAAGGGTTGGTTCCTTGGTCAGACCAAGGAGCAGTTTGGGAGCCAGTTCGTTGGCATTCGAAGAAAAGACATGAGAACAGCCCAGCCGGGGGAACTCCTGTTTCCAGCTTGGTCGCTGAGCCCACAGGCGCCATCCCCATCAAGGTGGAGTCCCGGGCCAAGGGCAAGAAGGCGAGAGATGAGCAGACTTGTTGCGCCCACATGGATCTTCCAAGCTTTACTATGGCGCTTTGCAGCACGGCACGTAAACAAAGCGGAGCTGGGAATCCGCCCTCCGGACCTCACTTTTAGAGAGAGAGAGAGAGAGAGAGAGAGCAATGCTTTATCCACCGCGTGAGGTGACCATCATCTCGGGCGTGCGCGGCAATGCGCAGCGGCGAGCCGAGCATTCCAAACCCAAGAGGCATCCGGATGAACAAAGCGCATTAGCGCCTCACTCACCCTTGCACTGGCGTAGGGCCATGTCTTTAACACACGGGCTCATGTGGGTTTGAACAAGGATAATGCCGTTGGTTCATCCAGAACGTATGACTGGTTTGTCGCGGTTTCGTTGCTGAAAGCTTCGGAGGACTTGAGAGCCGTTGAGGTCTTTGGTGTCGGCTTTGAGCAGCCTCCTGGGAACTGGTGGCACCGTTCTGGGAGAAGCAGGGCGACAGATGGTGCAAGTGCAAGGCGCGGACATGGATGAATCCAATGATCCGGTGATTTGTCTGTTGACACCTATGGCAAGAACTCATGTAATATACGGTGGGTTTTGCGCGCATGCCCAGAAAATGAGTCAGCCAAGATGTCAAGAGCGCAACAACGATGACTTGGTAGGCGACATCTCGCGAACTTTGCGCCAGGAAGCCAACATGAACGAGTGGCTGATGCCTTGACTCAGCTTGGCTGCCTGCGGGGGGTCGCCAAAGCTGAAGCCAAGCCCAAAAAGGAGGTTGGTGCCGCAGACTCAGATGCCAACCCACTGCCCAGTTTCATCCTCACCGCGCTGGTGGCTTTTGTTTTGCAAGGGTTGGGCTCAAATTGTGCAAGTCAGCAGGGCCTGGCCGCTTTTACAGAAGCCACATCTTCAAACGAGAGGTTTGCGCCAACGCGAGTGATGTCTACGGTGAGGTGGTTTCACGGAACTGCGCCTACGACAAGTTCCTGCGCAAGGCTTGCCGCTTTTTTCGCCTTCTGCCCGTTCCAACAGCTTGCAAGGTTCCGAACACAGGGGGGCCGCCTTTTTGGTGCAAAGTGCCCCAGAAGGTTTCAAAGTGGCCTCCCGATATCTTTTTGGAATCACTTGGCGCACTACCGGCACACCAGCTTGAGGTCAAGCCTTTTATGTGCAGGTGGTTTGGCTGAGCTCTTCGCTCATCAATTCAGGGAATCGTTTGCCGCTTCGATGAAAAACAGGACGACCAAGTGTACGGTGCGCACATGAAGCACCGACACTGCACCACAAGTTTTAGTTTTAGGGAACCCGGTGCACTGTCTGATTCTTGGCACGCTAGCTATCCCAAGCAGGTCCCTGAGCCAAAGAGGAATAACCAACGAGCTGCTTCTCTGAATGCACCTTGACCTTTTGTTGGTTACAGTTTTCTACATCAGAAATGTGTTTGGGAAGGTTTGGCAAGGATTGTGAAAAGGATTGAGATTCACGATTACAGCAGGCCATAGCTAAACCCCAGGTTTTTTCAAGCGGGCTGTTGTTTTTGAGGGTTTTGAAGTAAAATAAGAGAACCACCGCCATATGTTTTTTTGTTTGGGGGGTGAGCCCCCTCAAAAACGCACGACTTGAGGAAACATGCGCACAGAAAGAAAGAAGCCAACATCCCTAGGCCACTCAAGGTGGAGCAGCTTCCGCTGTTTGCCCTGATCAACCCGATGCCTTTTTCTTTTTCAGTTTTTTTTTTTTTTTTTGGGGGGGGGGCTGGGGGGCCGGGGGGGGGGGGAGCTATGTATGTATATACATACGTGAATATGTATATGTGTATATATATATACCAGTATTTCGGAGTGATGTTCAATGAGACCATTCATCGTTCATGATTCATGATGCTGATGTTCTTCCTCGTGATGCACTTTGAATGTACAACAAATGGCCAAAACGATCATTACTGGCACTATATGTGTCCACCACATTTTAGATACACTTTAAATTGCCAAATAACAATGTTTGCCAATGTTTCGAATTGAGTTTGTTTGTTTGGTGATGGAGGAGCTCGAGGAGGTTTGTTTCAGCTTGAAGGAAACATTTGAAGTATGTGTTTTTGTTTGGGCTTTTTAGTTTTGGCGGGATTGGCGACGTCCATTGTTCGATCCTCAAAAGCATTTGTCAACTTCACACACTAGTCATGGCACAAGAGGCGAAGAAACAAAGCAAGCAAAAGTTCGGGCAAGTGTTGCTTCAATCACTGGAGTGATGATTGCAGGGGTCTCAAATGTTTTCCTGTTAGTTTTCCCTTGTGAGCAATCCTGCGAACGTAATTTGATAAAAGGAACCATGCACATTTGACCCCATCCCCCCGCCATGTTGTGTTTGGCACATCGCCCAATAAGGAAATGGCCCTCCAAAAACGTGGTGGTTTTCCCTGTAAACTCCTTGTGAGCCCAGCCCCACAAAATGGTACCCAAAGAGGATAGAGTGATCAGGGCTACTTGGCCTAGTCCGGAAAGGTTCCAAGAACTCCTGAGTAAGAAGATTCCTTCCGACCTTTATCCTGGTTTCTTTCCCCTACTTGGCGGCCGTTGCTTCCTGCACAAGAAGCTGTTCTTTGCACTGATTCGTTGGACATCCAGTCATTCCCCAAAAGATACAGGTCCAAGATTCCATCCTCAGCCCAAAAGCAGTGCCCCTCTTTTGACCAACCCTTTCCAAACCAAGAATCCACCACAATCCACCCTTTCTTCCTTGGTTGTCACATTTTCAACCAAACACGCTCACAAGACCCAACCCAAAAGCAGTACCCAGCCCCTTCCCGCGTCGCCAGGACCCGGGGCCCAAGCCCTTGTCGGAGCTGCTTCAGGGCGAGGCTTATGCCCCCCAGTGTCCCCCCGGCGCCGAGTGCGACTCGGACCGACCTGCGTCGGACATTTTCGAAAACCCTGGCCCTCCCTTCGTCTGGCATCAGTTGTGGGGTTTTTGAACCAGGATAACCCAGATGCGTGGCATTCTTCCTACCTTAACGGGGATTTGCAACTCGCGTCGCATTGCCTCCAGGAGGTTTTCTGGCACGGATTGAGACTCCGCAAAAAGGCATGCCTTGGAACCAGTGAAAACTTTGGTAACCCTGGCCGCTTCAGCTTCTCCACGCAAAACTGTATTGGCCATTGGTAGGCCTTCACCCCCCCCCCCCCCGCCCGCAGTCCGGCGCACACACAAACATAGCGACCCCCTGCTGATACAGTAAAACGGTCTGAGCCCATACTCATGGCGCAGCGCAGTGTTGAAAGAATGCGCTTGCACGCACCCGCATGCAATTCCAATGTGCTCATGCTTGTGCAGAGTAAACGACATAGTCTAATTGCAGGCATTGTAGAGTTGGGCTTCCTGATGGAACGCGCAACCTGCCCTATCTTGAAGGAAAAGGGGCTTCACCTTGTGCCGAATTGCAATGTCGCGATGTCCCCCTGGAACAGAAGATAAATCCCAACAAAAGGGGGTCCCAAAAAGGAGATTCCTACAACAGTTTTTTAGGACGGAGTTCCAGATGAATCTGCAAGGATTTGACGCTGAGGTTTCCGCTGGCACGGCTACTGGCCCTACTGTCGTGGGTGCTGCCAACAGAACGAGGACGATATCTGGGAAGATGGCAACCTGAACTACGACCCATCGCTGGACAAGGAGTATGGCGGCACGCCTGCAAAAGGCCCTTGCTCATCAAGTTGTGCGGAGGGAGGGTTGGAGAGAGGGGGAGTTCGGGACGGAGTTGCGGTGGGTAATTTGTTCTCATGGGCCAGGGCTGAGACTGCCTGCAAAACTCGCGTTTCAAAAAAGCAGGCGGGGCCTGGCAGATTCATCCAGCAGAGCAACCGCCACAACCCTCTTAAAGATTGATGTCTTGGAGGGAGACGTTCGGAAGATCATTCGAGTTTCATTGTCCTTGCAGGGAGGACTTGTGCACGGAAATGAAGGACCTCCCTCTCCCTTTGGGCTGGAAGATTCGCAAGATGCTCCATGTTTGGATTTGTTCATGCCCGACGAGGGCCCAGGCTCACGCAGAATTCAAGCGGAAGGAGTGGACAACCGCAATTCAGAACAGTACTGGACACCTCATGTTGTTCTGCTCCATGAAGCATCGTTGCATGCTCGCCGCAGCCTCCTTTTGTTGCCGCTGCTGCCAGATGCATTCTGAGGATGCGGGAGGGGGGGGGGGTGGCGGTCTTTTTCATTGGGCCCCTACGGAGGGTAGCATGTGCAAAGTCCCCTCCGCAAGTTTCTGCTTTGGGGGACGGCACTTTAAGGTGGAACTGATGGAAATTCATGGGTTGACGCTTGCGGCTTGCCCCATATGAGTAAGTCTCTCAAAGTAGTGGACTCCCCCCTCCCCTTCAAAAAGAAGCCAGTTTTTTCTTAGCTTCACCTCTTAGTTTCCCTTTGGACGCTCAATTGCCACCAGGTGAATCCGGTTCCTTCCACCCAACCCAGGCAGTGCCTCGGGCCGGGCGTGCCTGCTGTTTCCAGCGCGGCCCGGCAGCTGGGCGCAGCTGGACGAGTTGCTGCGGCGCCTGGGGATGTTGGCGGAGGTGGGCGAGGCTGCGCAGACCTGGGGCCTGAGGCCCGGCGTCGGTGCGGTTTTGGTCGACTCGTTGAAGCACGTTGAAGCCAAGCTCGGGGCCCTCAGGCCGAAATTGTTTAGGCGGATTTAAACAGGCCCGCCACTTGCACCCTGCGTTCCAGTATGGCGGTGTTGGTCCCTCGCCCCGACTTGGCTCATGTTAATGCCGTTCCTGAGTTGCGCCAAGGGCAATGACAGCATATGTCAATCTGTTTGATTACCTCAAGGTAGACCTTTTCCAACCTTGGAGCAATCAACAAATGGAAGCCCTTGCAGCATGCAAACGGAAGGTCCGGCCCCAACGCGGTGCCGAACGGCGCCACGTTGGCGGAGTACCGGCGCCGCGCCGTGGCGCCAGGGGCGCGGCTGCTTGAGGCCGAGCCCAAGCGCAAGAAGGACCCAGGGGTGATCAACTGCATGGCCTGGTTGGATTCGTTCTTTCGCGCGTTTTTGAAATGGCATCCGTTTTTTTTGGGAGTCCCTTGCTTGCGGCAGCGATGCCAATCACAGCGGTTTCCTCATAAATTGGCGCAATGCGTTTGGGGGGCAGTGCCCTCGGAGGAGCCCAAAGAGCCCAAAGAGCCCAGGCCCAGGGAGAGGACACGTGAGTTCAAGCCGCGGCCGGCCCCGGAGCCGGCCAAAGTGGGCTGCTTCCCCTGCAGCGTTTGTGGCCACAAGTTCGGTCTCTACAAGACCTTGAAGCAGCACATCAAGTTGGCCCACGACGGAGTGGCCAGGCCAATCAGCCACAACCCCAAGGCGCCCCCAGCCGTGTCCACGCGGCCCGCGCCAGCGCCGTTGGGTCCGGGCATGCCCGCGCCGGCGCCGCCCGCCCCGCAAATCGCGGCCTGGCTTGAGCCGAGGTCACCTTGCCCGGTGTGCGGCGTCTCCTTCCGCATGTCCGAGCTGCAGCGACACGCGCAGAGCTGCGAGGAGGCTCAGGCACCGCTGGTGCCGGAGCCGAAAACGGAGAGGCCTGACACTCGCAGAGAGCGAAGTCCGGAAGGGAAGTGCCCCATGTGCAGTAAGCTCGTCCGCAACTTGCAGGAGCATGTGCCGAAATGCCTGGACTTGCCCTCTCAAGAGGCCAAGCCAGTTCAAAAGCCGGTGGCAAAGCCACCGCCGGCCAAGAAGGTGGCACTTTGTGAGGATTTCTCGGAGGGCAAGTTTGAGACCTGCCCGATCTGCCAAGAGTGTGTCAGCATCCCGCACTTGCAACTCGTCCATATCCATGTTCGCTCTTCTTTGCTGCAAGCTTCATCCATTTTAATCATTCCCAGACTTCTTTGTGATGGGGAGGAGGATGAACAGGGCGGTGTCCCAGTTTAGTAGGGTCTTTTGGAGGGAACACGCACTCCAGGGTCAACATGAGTCGTTCCCAGGCTTGATCGATGTTCGGTCATTTTCACAAATTTGATGCATGTTAAGTCATGTCCATGTTTTATTCATAGTCTTTCTCAAGCTTGCTTTCCCTCATTTCTAATGTTGAACGGTGTTGAACCATGTTTAGTAGTCATTGCAGTCACTTCTAGTGGAACCGCGGTCATGCATGGTTGTCTCTCTGCATATTGATGGCATGAACCTCCCCCCCCCAAAGAAAGGCATAAAACAAGACCAACAATCACATAAACCAGACGCACCTTGAAATGTCCATGTTGAGTTTTGAGAGTTCAAAGGCAAACGGAAGGCCCGCCGTGCTTTTTTGGGGCGCGCAGTTGTCCGCCGTGAGGCAAGGGCACGTGGAGCGGTGCTTGGTGAATGCGGATGCTGCGCCAGAGGCGTGGCAGAGCTGTCCGCTGTGCAAGGCGCGGTTCGGAGGGCGGAAGGTGCGTGGATGTCTCGCTGAACGGATGGTGGGAAATATATCCTTCAAGGAACCCGGTTCCACCCTCAAGATCCATTTTTGCTTGGCCGGTTCCCCGCTTGGAATGGAATCGACCCCCCGTTGAACTTTTTGGGACGACCATTTTGGCTGCCGAAGTCAGCTCACCGATCCGCGGTGTAAAATGAGATCACCGAGATGGGCTTGTGCTTACAATTGTGGCTTGTGGCTGAGTTCCAGCTTTCATTTCTGTCAATGCGCAACACTGGGAATGAGGCGGCCAAGGCTGCAGAATGTTTGGCCTCACCACCACAAAGAAGGGCCGGAAGGGTCCCTAATTTTGACACCCCTTTCAATAAGTGAGAGGCACTTTTGAGGACCGGTTGCTTGAGAAGCGCTTGTTGCTTGGGAAAGATTTGTTTCACTAGTGGATGTCCCATTCATTAAAAAACCTTCACTAATCGGAGACATTGGTCATCGGGAAAAAAACAACTCCTTAGAATCGCTCTGGTTGACCTCCAACAGGGGTTCACCGTTTTGGCTTGCTTGCCTGGTAGGCTCAAAGCTAAATCATAAGAAGGGGAGCCCCAAATATCTGCTGACTTGTTGGTCTTGAAGGGAGGCCAGAAGGCAAAAGAGGGGTCACAAATCCTAGTTGAGACACCCTGTAGAAGTGGTTATGTGCCAAACTAGGGGCTTGGACAGCCAAGCGAATTATCTTCAACCCTGTACAAATTCCCATTGTTAGTGGAGTGCAATGAGAGTATGTGCTTGCAAGGTGGGTCATCCTTTTGCGTTTGCCACCCATCGCAGGAGCAGTTCCACCCAGACGCCATTGAGGCCCACGTGCAAGCGTGCCTGGATGAAAGCACAACGCCGGAAGGTTCTGAAAGTGAACGCTCGGATGAGGAGGACTGGAGTTGGGGCAGGCTAAATTGATTATTCCCCTCCTTCCAACAATCATGCATCCTGACGGAGGGTTTGGAAAGGCCACTTTCCTTTGAAAATCGTAGGCGAAAGCTGGAACAAAGGCCAGAGTCCAGAGTGAAAACAAATACTTGTTTGTCACGTGACAACCTCAACGCAGAACCGAAACAAAACATTCAAATTACTTTAGTCAATCATTTGAAAAGTAGTGTAAGTGTTTTTACTCAAGGAGTTGTGTACCCCAGATGTGGGCCAAGAGGAGGCTGAGCCTGAGGATGAGGACGAGGACTACAACGCCCGTGAAGGCAACTCGGCACATGTCTCCCAACATGCCGGCAACCGGATGCAAGTGGGCAAGTCCGTTCTACTGGTTGTTGTTTATGGCGCTATGTCGCGTTGTTGCGTCTGGCATGTTTCGATTTTGCCCTCGCTGAGGTGACTTCGTTGGGCAGCCAGTCGACTTGAACGGCCGGGTGGGAGGGGGACGGCACTTTGCAGAGGTTATGACTTGTGCTGCTTTGCCAGATTCTGGGGCCAATATCTGGGTACCCGACCCCCCACAAGCCGGTTGTTCTTCTCTTTCTCTCTACATTGATGCTTGGATGCGTGAGACGTGTAAGGTAGGTCCTGAGGCATTGGCCAGGGTGGTCACCAGAGATTCTGTTTTTGACACAGGACTGAACTAGAAGTCCACACTTTTTTTTCTTGTGTGACAGTGCCAGGGGGGAGAGAGCGAGAAAGAGGGAAACATCAAAGAGAGAAAGAGAGAGAGAGAGAGAGAGAGAGAGAGAGAGAGAGCTGGAGAGAACAACAAGCAAGCCTTTCTTCTTCACCTTTTTTGACCTGCACAAAGCTTTGCGGCGCGTGCGTGACGTTTTCTCGCAGGCTCCCTTTTGGTGGCGGCGCTGGCGGCCTACTCCCCGAAGGGCCCCAGTCAGATGGACCTGATGCCAGGGGATCCGGTGCTGCTGCTGTGGGAGCAGCCACCGGAGGAGCCGCGTCGAGTCGGACGGGACCGCGGCTGGGCGGCGGGTCCGGTCCCCCAGCAATTGGTGCCCGTTTTAACGGGTTTCTTTTTTGGGGGGAGGGTTTTCCGAAACTGAAATAGACTGCAGAAAAGAAGTTGGTACCCTTGTTCTAACCTCTCAAATCTGGAGGACCTGGACGAGGAAGCCAACTATTTTGGGGGTTGGTCAACTTTTGACACTCCATAGGCCCATATGTAAACACGTTGCATATTGGTCGCATATTAGCGCATTTGGAAGACGACCTTCCTGTTTGGGAAGCGGGGTTGTGCACTTCAATGTTTGTTGGTGGGAGCCTAAGGCATGGCGGACATGGGCGTAAAGGGGCTCGCGGACTACCTACAAGTAAAACACAATTTGGTTTGCGAAAAAAGCAGTCAGAAGCTGTTGTATGACTATTTGAAAGGCTTGGCCTTCAATGTCGCGATGTTCGGGCGGGTAATATGTTGCCCCAACTTGAGGAGATTCTTTTTTTGAATGGTGTTCAACCGGATTCCAACCGTATATTGTGAAAACTGCAGTAGCTACCTTAAAGCTGAGCCAACAAGTTTAAACGTTGCTCACCAGGCATTTCATGGTCATGGCCCGCAATCTGAAGCACCGCTGAGGAAAGTTCGGGCCCGACTTCGCAAGAAAACGCATAAACCCTTCAAGTTTACAAGGCGCTTCTAGCACAAGCTCTTGCGCTTTCTTTGCCGCAGCTAGTCCGACCTCAGTCCAGGGCAGCATGGCTCTGGCTCCCAAACTTGTCAGCCCACAACGGTTGGTTGTCTTTCCCCAACGCTCCTAGCGCTTTGCTTCGGTTTTCTTACCCGGCAGGGGATGGTCGCTCCAATTTTGGGGAGAGGTCCAAAAGCTCAGCTCTCCGTGGCTCAGAGAATAATACTCCCTAGCCATCACTAAGCCCTATGCACCATTGCCGGTTTTTTTGCAACCTTGCCGTTTCTCAGTAACCCTATTATTGTTTTGGCTGAAAAACGGCAAAACCACCCAAAACCAGCACAACCACCAAGAGGTTCTGGGATGGTTCGTTTCCTTTCTTGAATCCTTGGGCCATGGCCATGAGGTTGTCTCAAACAGGGAGACCTCTTTTGGAATGGTCAAAGGGGAACAAGGAGAGCACCCATTTCCGGGCCACCCTACACCCCAGTCTTGGAGATAGGCCTCTCCCTGCTTCCGTGAGGAGGGGGGCTACTGGGCCTGGGGCTGCAAGGTCCGGCAAGATGGGGGGGAGCACCTGGCCGAGCAGCTGGGAGCCTTGGCGGTGGAGGCGATTCCCGGCAATCCAACTGGTTTCATTGGAGCCAAAACGCTTCATTCCCGCAACCTCTGCGATTCGGAATCCGGCGACCAGCAAGATGTGACCAGTTCTGAAGATTCTATGCCCGTGGCTTCATCGCTAGGTCCAGCTCAAAGTGAGTTTGGGGGGGGGTTCACATTGTCCCCGGCTGTTTTTTTCTCCGAAACTTGCCCCATGGCTTTATGTGGGACGCGCTCGCTACTCGTGGGTCCCTCCGAATGGTTGCGTTGTGGAGGGTTCTCAAAATTAATTAATGCTTGTTTTTTAGATGGGGGCTGGCTGTCCAAATTCCTTCCCTCGGCTTCACTTCTTGACCTTACACGTGCACATTGATTGGTTCGGTCAAGCGTGTAAAATAGTAGCGGGATTTTGCGGAACCAGCTGCTAAAGAGACCCAACATAGCCATGAGATCTACTTTGAGGATGAGGTTGGCTAACAAAACTAGTTGACATGCAATTGGCTAGTTTTTGTTGTTTTCCTCCCCTGTGCAGAAGCACGGGTGGACACAATGAGGCCAGTCATCACAAAAGATCGTGAATCTGTTTGACCCCCCCCCGGTGAATGCTGCCAGACCTTGTTGTGAACAGATCCTTGTGAGGAGGCGTTCCAACAAACTTCACAGGTAGCGCTAACAGGGTGGGGTACCCTCTTAATCCATCAGGTTGATTAATCCGGGCCGACACCATTGGCACAAGAGCATGTAGCCAGGTTGAATCTAGGTGCTTCCCTTGCCTGAGGATATGTCCCTTTGTCCCACCTCAAGCGGAAAGATTCCGAGCAGTCGCCGGCGCCTGCTCCTTGATTGCATTGAGGGGACCTGTTTGGCATCATGTTGATGATAAAATTGAGCATCTGGCCAGATCTGGCCAGAAGCTGGAGATGTTCCGCGAGGCTTTTGAAAAGCAGCACGGCTTGCCGTGCCTTGCGTCTGCCCAGGTGAGGAGGAGATGGGGAGCTGGAGCTCGGGAGGCGCGTGCGGCTTAAGGCCCAAAGGCTTAGGTCGGCGGTGCCCACAGACAGCACAGCGACAGCCAAGCGAGAGGTGCGCAGACAGCCACTGGAACAGGCGCTGCTAGCACATTTACAGATGTATGGATGGACATGTTTTTCTTTAAGAAGTAGATGTATTACACAAGCTTAGTGTTGTCAGAATCTTTGGGAACCTGGACATCTGGCAATACTTGTCGAGTTTCGCCGAGTGGATGCGCCATGCGCCGCTCTTGGCGTCGCTGTGGGGTGCTCCGAGCACGGGGCTTGGACCCAGTTTTCGGCCGCTGCCTGCAGCAATCAGCCCGAAGGCTTCCGGTCGCGGCCGAGGCCGCGAGCTTTGCCGCGAGGCTGAGGCCTCGACAGGATCCCCAGCTGCACGTCCCAAGGGCCCCTCCAGGTGCGCCTTCAGGTTATTTCATCCGGTTTCATCCAGTTTTCACAGGAATCGGGCATCTCCAACTTGATGAATTCATGAGATGTTTCTTTTTTTGGGAGTACTCCTTGGTTGCAAAGCGCGGAAGGCGCGAGGGGCGTGCGTGACTTCCAGGTGGGGATCGGCTTTGGCCGGGCGTTGTACAGCGCACAGAGTGCGCAGGGCGCTCGAGTGAGGCCCTGATGCACTTGCCCGCCCAAGCGCAAAAATGCGCTTCACGCACGTCGATGATTCCTACTGGGGTGAATCACCTGTGCGTTTGTGTTGGGAGGTTGCAAAGGGAAACTAACGGAAATATGGGTTGGTCTGAAAGCTCGAAGTATCGGACGTCCCGGGGCGGAAGTCACGGATCTACGTGGTGCGTTGTTTGGGAATGGCAGCAAGTTGTGCGGACCAACGCCTTGCTGAGCCTGCGACACTCCATGTTTTGAGCCATAGCCATCTGGAGGTGCAGAATTGGCAACCACTAACCCGGGTTACCAAAAGGAACCACCGTTGCAGCTTGCAAAGCAAGAGCAGTTTATCTGTAGAGTGTCGTAGGGCAGGTAAAAGGATGGCCTCTCAAGACCAAGGACCAGAGCTGGCATGGCGGTGGGATCCACTAGGCGGCTGGATTGGGCACTTAGAAACAAAACGGGCCATGAAAGGTTCTCTAGCATTGTGCCGACCCGGGCTCTCACTTCCCGAGTTCCTGCGTCTTTCTCATGTCTTCATCTCTTCTTCTTAGACCATGCTCGTGGCAAACCAGATGCTTCGCCGATTTTCGTGGTCAACCTACTCGTTCGGAGGTGAGGCTTGCGAAATTTGCGCACGCCATGATTTCCTCATGCGGCTTCCGTGCGCCTTGGGCCTTGTGGCGAGAACGGTGGCAGCACCGGAGGTGCCGGTGGAAGCAGTGCAGAAGCTGGCGGGGCAGCTGAGCAACGTGTCAGACGCATTGACCCTAGGAGTGGGCGAGTCAGGTTTTCTCTTCCCCTTTGCTGAAATCAAAGCATCAGCATGTGGTTGTCGGTTTGTAACTGAGGTCCCTTCGGTGTTTAAGGAGGAAATGTAGGGAACCCTTTGTTTCATGGTAAAGGCCATTAGGCACGTGTATGGCATTGTTTGGCGCCTGACTTGTATTTAGCCTCGGGTGGCTTAAAACACAACCGTGGCCTCTAAACCCACCCGAGACCAGCCCCAAGAAGCCCCACCATAAACCAGCACTGAACCATCTGCCTCAAGCACAGCCACCCCCAAATTTGTTTTCAATAGGCTTGGAACCCACCCGGAGCCAACCCTGAGCCAACCTGGAACCCACCCTAAACCCAGCCAAAACCAAAACCTGGTGATGCTGAGAATGTTGAAAACGATGCTGAGGATGTTAAACCGATGCCGGCTTTGAACGGACTACCCCAAGCCTACCCTAAACCTACCCCAAAATCTTTGTGCGTTAGTGTCTCTAGGCTGTGCCAGGGTTAGGCTAATGCCAGGGCTATGCCAAAAAAAAAACACCTCAGCCCTTTCCATGTTTAGTGAAGGCCACGAACGGTTCATGTCTTATTTCCTGGTCCTGGGGGAGAGGGTTGCGCGGCTTGTTTGCTTTGGCGTTGGCTAGCTCAAAGGCCTTGGTGGGCTGTTGGGGCCTTTTCGGATGAAGACTCGAGGGCCCCATTCATTCTGGGGACCCTCTGTCCCACAAGCCAATCGAACACCAAGGGAACCAGCTAGTGGCTACTTCTTGAGAACGATGGTTGAACAGAATGATGGAACGTCCTAGAAAGTTGGGCACATCCTTAAGAGGAGTCGATTGGTAGCAAGGGCGCCCAAAGGGCCTTTGCCACATATTGCTACACTGCCGAAACATCTAGACCAGAGAGTTAGGGGCGACCCTTTGTAAAGGGCGCTCGACCTCAAGCAACAAAGCCATGGAGGTTGTTCTTAGAGGAAACCCCCTTTATGCCTGAGCGGTGCACACTCCTGGTTCAGGGCCCTCGCATTCCCCCTCTGGGACACCCACGACACACCGCTCCCCAGCCTCTCTAAACAAAGCAATATGTGGACGAAGACAAAATGAAGGGTTTTGTCCAATTCTTAAAGCAAAGTAAAAAGCAGTTTATGACCACTGCTTTCAAGCCTTGAGCCCTAGGAGAGGGCGCTTGGATGCAGTGCTGCTGTACCACTTCCGCAGCAAGCACTTCCTGGACGTTCAGGCATCTCTGCCCGAGAATGTGGCGCCTCAGCCACATTTGGCCATGAAGCCATAGGTGTCCTTTTTAGGTTAGTCTGGCCAAAAGTAGATGGCACTGGTTTGCATGGGTCTTGTTCCATCTACCAGGGCCATCTATTTTTCCAAAAGGCCACCTATGCATGGAGCTCGCCTTGACCATAAGATAGGGAAATCAACACCCTGATTCCCGGACAGGCTTTTGTTTTTGCGCCCCTGTAAACACCATCTACAGGTCCTAAAGTCCTAAAGCATTCGAAGTTAACATTGCCCTTCTGCAAGTTAGCGCGGAACCCAAAAAGAGGTGTCTCCCCCGAATTAGTTTCCTCTGCACAGGAGTTGTTTTTTGGTTTTATGCCAATCTGTAAGTAGTGAACCGCCTCACCTTTGGCGGAAAGGATTGGTCCAGCCAGCCCTCGCCTTGGAAGAGCTACGGCGCGCCGTCCCTTCGGCTGCCCACTGACTTGGAGGCCAGCGGCGCACCATCCGTGCCAGACCCTGGTCTTCACGACTGGCTTGGCCCAACCCCGGCGCCAATATAGCCAGTCAATGGTATATACCTCTGGATAAGGATAGGTGATATGGTATGAAACCTACCCCGAGACCTGTACGTTCTTGGAAGCTGCTTTTCTTATTTTTTTTCTTCTGGAGATGCAACTCAACACGTCCCAAGCGAAATGCGGATTTCGCCCTGGGGAAAGCTCACAAGCTCTTCTACATTTCTTTTTGACCTCCCAGAGAGAGAAGACGCGAGGTCCTTTCCCAAGTTTTTGGACCCACCGAAATGAGCCCTGAATTCTGAGCGCTGTTTCCCATATGTCCCCGCAGCCAGTTTAAGCATGGCGAGTAACTCCTCGGGCACGTGACCTTTTGGACCTCCAGGTTCATCTGGTTTGGTCGTTTCCCTTACCTCACTGACCTTTTGAACAAGCCCCATTTGGTTTGGTCGCTTCTTTTGAAACACGAAGGTCCCACCAAACCGAGCCTCTCCCCAGGTCCAACCCCTCGGACCAGGCGACGGAAGCGCTGTCGCTCAGCTCCCTGGGCGCCTTCCTGCGGCTCGGCGCAGGGATCTCGGCCTGGAAGAGCTACGACGGGCTCCACGCGCCGCTCCGAGGAAACCGCGGCCGGTCTTGTTCGTCGCGTTGCTCCGGCGGTGGGATGAGAGACCCCCAAGTGGTAAGGCGCTGAGGTGGATAGGATCTGAGTAGGGCAACTCCGCGCGCTCGTCGGTGCGACGGGCTTGGAAAAGCAACCAGGTTGTGATTAGGTGTGATTGAGTCACGAGTAGTGGATTGGTGATGAAGGTAAATCGGAATTAGATAGAACATTTGCCAGGGTTAGAACATGCCCCGCACTACCTGGCAGTATAGCGCATCGGGTTTCTGGTTTCCCTTCAAAATGAGACACCACGCATGTTCGTCAACAGTAAGGTGCAGACATCCTGGATTGCAACAATTTGCCAATTGCCACTGGCCAATGTGACCGGCTTCTGCTTTGACCATGTTGGCTTCTCCCTTCCCCTTCAGGTCATTTCAGCAAGCGAATTTTCAACACACAGGCAAGCTTGCCCCAACGGAATTCTTTGCGTTTGAGTTGCAGGGTCCCTGTGGTCCCTTTAGACTACCTGATTGGAAGCATGCTCTAGCCGTGATTCCGTATGGAACCCGAACTCGAAAAACAGGTGGCGCAAGAACCACCCTTGTCCCAAAAAGACGCCCTGTCTGATCCTTTCACATGGTTTCCATTCCAACCCCTATGGCAAAGACGCACCAAGATGGGCCGTACTTGAACCTGGGTAGATGAAGGTTAGTCCCAGCCAGAAATAGCTGCGGCCTTTTGGTTTCCTTCCATGGATTTAGACCATTCCAAGACGGATCGGTTTCGATTGTGACTCAGGTGGGCCTTGCGGGTCTTCCCTTCCTCGGGGAACCTGCAGACCACCGAGCTGCACTTGCTGCTGCCGCCCCTGCCGGACCTCTATCATCAGCCCGCTGCGCGCCTCGGTCTGCCCATCTGCCCGGCACATGCGAGGGCGGCGAGAAAGCTCCGCCGGTTGCGGGTTCTTGCCTGTTTCCTTTAAGAATATTGGAACATGAGAACCCCAGCAAGGGTACTAGTACCATGAAACACCGAGCACACATGTCTGTTTGCTCCTTACAAATGGTTGTTCGAAGTTTTCAATTGAGGGCAGCGGCGTGCAGAAAGTCCACAAATGGCAGGAAACCTTTTCAGTCCTTGTCCGAAGCTTGCCGAGAGTTGGACAGGGGTTGCGCGAGTTGCGACGTGCTTGACTGGGGTACAACGAGGCCCATGATGAAGTACCTCCATGCCGTAGTCCCAGTTCATGAGTTCGCTCATGGACGCTGAGTTGGGTCCAACTGTCCGATCTCTCGGGCCCCAGGAGCATGGGCCCGGAAAGTAGGCGCGAGAATTTGGGAGCAAGGGGTGCAGATGGGCTGGAGCCGTCTGAGGTACCATTTCCAGCCAGAGACGCACTCTCTAGAGCTCCGGTTGCAGGTGCCGGCTGAGCCTTGAAGCAGCACTTTGGCTCTTTCGCGCTTGTCTTCTGTGTTTCTGACGGCTTTCTGTGTCAACTCGCGGTTTTTTTTGGCGTGGCCATTGTTGGAAGAACAAGGCCTACTACAGGAGTGGCTAGACATCAGCTTTTCGGTTGCCATTTTGAGTGTTTTGTTCATCCTTTAAACTTTAGTGGGCTGACTATCTCACAAGCCGCTAAGAAACACCAACAATACCCGGGATTACACCATCGGATTGCCTGGCCATTTGTCACTTCCTATTGTTTTGTTTTGCCCATGCCCGGTCGCCCCTCGTCTCCCTCCCGCTTCTTCCCAAGGCTTGTCGCCAGAAGCGGCGCCAAAGGCTTCGTGGTGATGCTCACCAGCCTCTGCGCGCGGGAGAGTTGGAAGTACGGGGAGCGGGCGCTGAGGTCCTGCCACCTGAATCTGGGCCGCTCTGCTGCGTATATGTCTGATGGCTTTGTTTTTTTGCTCAGGTTTCTGGAGTGTTTTATTGGATTGTGTTGTTTCATGTTGCGTATTTTTAGGCTGGAGTCTTTCCAGCGGTGTTTGGCTTCTTTGTTTGTTGTGTATTTGTCGTCGTTCTTTTCTTTTCTTTTTCTCCTGTGTCCATGTTGTTTTGTTCCATTTGGTTTTCGCTTTTACCGAATCTCCCTTTTGAACTTTTGGTACCCTCCTGGCATGTGAAGTAGTTCTCCTTTTGAACGCGATTTGCTTCCCCTTTTTGAGGGGTAGTCTTGGAGGACGTCCACATGTGGTTTGAGTTTGATTGGGTCTTTGTTTGGTTCATGTTTCGGGGGCTGCGATCAAAGAAACCAGCAACTTGCTGGGAAGGGGCCAGAATCAGTTTGGAGGGCTTGTTTAAACCTTGTTGTCGAAGGGGGGGCCCTTTACCATCAGATATAACCATTGCGTTCGTCAGGAAGAAACACCCCCTTCATGGGCACCCGGTTTGAACGAACCGATAAAATGTGGCCCGGAAACCTTCAGGAGCTTTTCACCGGGCAGTGGCCGCCCAGCGCTCCCGGTGAAGAATTCATCCCCCGGGCCGCCGGCTCGACACCACGGCCGCTGGCCGCTTCGGAGCCGAGGCCACGCAGTTGGGGCGCTGGCGGCCGCCGCGGAGCTCATGGGCTGGGGCTTGGAGGAAGGCGCGCCGGCGGCCCGTCGCAGCCCCAAAACGGCGGAGCTGCGGGGGATTTCGATCCTCCAACCCCCCCCCCCCCAACAAAAAAAGAAAAGGAAAAGGACAGGAAAGGAGGAGAAAAGGAGGAATTATGGGAGAACCCCAGGAATTTTGTGAGAATCACGCATTTTTAGGTGTCTCGAAATTAGGGATTCCACAAAATGGTTTCTGGTTTCCCTTTCAAAGTGAACCCAAAAGGGTTCCCTCTGAAGAAAAGGAATTAAATGACAATTCTTATGTCAGATGGTGTGTTTCCTTTATTACGGCCGCTCACTGCGGACTACAGCAAAGGGTTAGGGATGAGAGAGCCGCCACTTCGGGGTCGTCGGCGGGGGGGTTCATGCAAGGGTTTGGTTGGGATGCCAGTCCTTGAGATCCGAAAAGGTCGGCTTCTTGGTTGCCGTTTTAACGCCACAGGGTTCTAAAGGTCCTAAAGTATGGCGAGCCCTTGCAAGAGCCTTCCTTCACTGGGGTAAATCCTCAAATACGGTAATTATTTTCAAGGGATTGCTTTCCTTTTTGTTCAGAGCCATCCAGCAAATGTTGTCCCCCGAGAGGGGCGTCCTATCCTCAATGTTTTGGGAAGGGAAGTTCCAGCAAGACTAGAGCAGCGGAACTTGCTTTGCGGAATCGCCTTTTTTGGGCTAAACTTCTTGGTTTTCCCTTGGAATGCAATCGACACCTATTGCTGCCCTTTGTCTTTCCAACTATGGCCTCTAAGTTAGCCGCACTAGTTCTGAATTGGCGGGGCTTTTAAAGTGAAAAGTCTCGGACTCATTTCTTCCAGGAGGGCCGGTTGATCATTCAGGGGTTCACAGAAGCTGGGCGGGTGGGTGAAAAGGGTTGGGTCACACAAGGCTTTCCAGGCTTCCCTGGGCAAGCTAATCCTCACTGAGTACAGCTCAGCCAAGCAATCCCAACCTAGCATTCAGGAAGCCGCACTTAACATAGCGACCTGAGTTGGTCGATGGCACATTTTGTCCGGGTCGGTTGAGTCATCCCATTTACCCATGGCTTCATATGCGACATGTCCATTTACCCATGGCGTATCCATTTTGGTTGTCCATTTTGTCCCATGGCTTTTGGTGCAAGCGTGGGTTTTTTCCATATCCGTTCCAGATCCCTTCAAGAGTGCCAGGTCCTCCCGCTTTGGGTTTCTACGAGGCCCTGGCCGGCTTTCACTTTGCCGAGGACGGTTCTCTTTCTCGCCCCTTTCATCCGCCCTCCAAGCAAACGAAGCTAAAGGCATGGACGGCCAATTTCCAGGGTCTTTTTCAGGTTCTAAGTCACTTATATTGTTGGGCTGCGCGCTAAAAACAGATGATTGAATGTGTACATGTCACCCAGCTTGAAGATGGGCGATGATAGGGGACCCAACTGAGTTGCCTTTTTAGTGTGTCAATGGGGCATACGGGGCTATCAAATTTTGAGGGTACCCTCTTGTCCACTAACATAGAACCCACGTTGGAGGGCCCATTTGGCCCCATTCAAAGGAAAAGTGTTCTCTCCGAAACGTCAGGTTCCATGGCAACGACCGGAGGGTACCCTTTTACGGGCCGGGAAGCCACGGATGGAACGCAGGAGCCCGAGCTCGCCCTCTTCGTGCGCACGGAAGCCGCGACTGCGGCGCCGGAGTTTGAGTGGCCGGGCATGGGCTTGGAGCCTTGGCGGCGGTCACACGAAAAGGGTGAGGAGTGGCACCTTCTCAAGTCACGTGGGGTTTGTCTTTTGTTTAGGGCATCGTCTTTTTTTTGGGCTGCTTGAAATTGGGAGACCAAAGGAAAAACAGCTGCCAGTTTGGGGCTCCCCTATGTAAGACTCACCCATCCGGCTATGGTATTTTAAGAGTTGCAACCACCTCAAAAGTGTTTGGAGGACATGTTGACATGAATCCATCTTGTTCAGAATCGGATGTTCACTATTGTTCAGTAAGGAAGGTTGCCAGACTCATTCAGTATTCACATGCTCAGTTTGCAAATGTCGATCATTTAGTGCGTGGATGTCTTTATCATTTTAGCAAAGGCCCAGAAAGCTTCAACCTTTTTGTGCAGTCATTTGGGCAGATCCGTCATGAATCCAAACACGTCAGTTTGGCATCTGCGGCAATGTTGGGCTGTTCTTTTGTGTCCAGGTTGGCAGGCTTGGCTTTGTTTTGTGGTTGAGCTGAATGCACGTGGTTTTGTGCTTTTCGTTCGCAAGCAATTCCAAGACGCTCGACATGTTCATGTTAGACGTGCCCAGGATGTTCCAAGCAGCGTGTCGGCTGACTATGGCTGACTCTTGGAGTGCGAGCCCCCACCCCCTTAAGCCACACTTCAATGTTTCTCTCAACCAAGCCCTTAAGGTCAGTACTTCCCCCCATCTAGAACAAGCCTCGCAGCGTTTTCACACGTCGCCTGCTTGTCAACCTCCATAGAAAAGAATCCAACAAAGGGACGGACATCCATGAACCCCCCCTTTGGCAAGTCGCCAGCGCCCTTGCGGCCAAGGGCGCTTCCAGCCCTGCGCTGGAGCTCGATGGTCCTTGGCCCTTCATGGATGCGGCGCATCGGGCGGCCCGCGTGTTGCAGGCAGATTTGGACGCGCCGCGGCCGATGCCGCGAGGGCTGACGTCGCCCCTGAGATCAAAGTGGACTTGCCAGTGAGGTGTCCTTGATTCAACCGGCCTCAGGTGTCCAACTATGGTTTCAGATGACGGGTGCAATTTTGGTTTGCCCCCGTGTTCTGTTTCAGCCATCCGGCCCAACTTTGCTTTGGAGCGTTATCTTTCACCCAACTCTCAGCCCGCCTTTTCTCGCTCTCGTGCTCTGTCTTTCGAGAAAAGAAACGACAGCAAAGGTGCCCCCCAAACAAGCGCTCGGGTGCCTTCCAACTCGGGCCAATTTTACCAACCGACGCCCAATTGAAGGAACGAGGTGTGATTGGCGCCAGGTCTTTGATGCCATTGGGAATTTCTGCCGACCCTTGTGAAGAGTTGGGGGTCGGGAAGGTCTGTGACAAGACACAGCGGTTGCGTTTCTGAGTTTCCCATTCCAAGTTGGACCCCGACACCTTGTTATTTACGGATATGATCTCCTGGGAAAGGGGACGAGGTTTGGTACCCTTGAGAGATCCGGAAAAAAAGCGGCCTGGTTCTGAAGGAATCTTTTTTGTCAGGTAGCCCTTAGTTGGTTGTTTGGAGTGGTGGAACCCGAAACCACTCCCCTAACCTCCAAACCACCAATCCAAGCCACCCATTAAAGGGAAGCTGATTTCGAGGCTTGTTTAAAGGGAAATGGCCGGGCGCCGAATGGTTGCATGCGAACAAACAGGGCCATGCAAGGAACCCTGGCAGTTGATTTTTCTAAAGCCACAGAATACCTGATCCAACCATGACCACTGTTCTAAATCAACTTGAGGCCCCTTTTTTAGGGGATCTGTGTTTTCCCTCCAAACCAAAAAGACTCACCTCACGCCGAGTCACTTTGGTCGATCGAGGCGCCTGGCGCCGCTGTTTGGGTCGACGTCGCTGCGCGGGGCGGTGCTCGCCCGGCGCTCCGTGCTGCGCATGGCGCGCCTGGCCGAGGGCCCGGCGCCGATGCCGCGAGGCGGATTCTTCCGAAGCGACGTGTGGGCGCCATGGCTGGTGCCGAGTCGCCCCACGGGAACTTGTTGGAGACAAAGGATTTTTAACCAGAAAGGGTTGAAACCTTCAGCAGGTTAGACCTCCTTTGGAAGCAACAACCTTCTGAAGGTTTTCCAAAAGGTGTCCAAAAAGTCCTTTGAGCCTTCAGAAGGTTTGACATTTGTTCAGGCAGAGCAGCCCAGGTGGAGCGGCGGCTCTTTCAGACGAGTGGAGAGCTGTTGGCGCCTTGCCACGGCAAAGGTTGAGTGGTGTTTTGCTCTTGTTTGGCTGCTTTTTTTTGGCTTGGTAAGTTTCTCGGAGGTGTTGGGGACCCAAGGAGAAGCCAGGCTCCATGTTGGTCTGCCCCATGTAGAGACATTGTTGACGGACGCTTGTTGTTTGTCTTTCACGGCAACTGCAAAACACCTTCTTCAATTTTCCACTGAGAAAAGCATGTCGAAGAATCGGTTGCTTGAATTTGGAAACCGTGGGTGGCAGCACTTGGCTTCAGTTCACGGCAGGGGCGCGGGGGGTTGCGCCTTCTTTTTTTGGCTGCGCATAAACTTGAACGTCCCAGCCAGAGTCAATGCAGGGGGATGACCTTTCAAGATCACCCCTTCGGAGAAGCACTGCATCCCCATCAAATCGAAGAGGCATCTCGCTTTGCCGCCCTCAACAAAGTGGCAGAGCGTTTGCTGGGGCAAGTCACGATACCAAAGTAATGTCACTTCGGATGAATCAGTTGTTCCTCTTTCAGGGCTTCCAATTCTCGTACGGTCCTCCAAATTTACACGTGGTTGTCAGTACAGGCCAAGTACAAGCTTGTACTATATTTTCAGGCCAGCCAGCCTCCCCCCCAATCACAGTAATGAACGGAGCGTCTTCCCCCTCCAACTGTGATGATTCCCCACCAACCTCAGCCTATCAATGAACCGGGGTTGATCATAAGGTCAAACCATGTGGTACCTGGCAGCCGTTGGGTTGAGGGGAGGTTGGGTCTCGCGGCAGGCCACTTCCTCAAGACCCTGCAGGCCTTGTGCTCCGCCCCGGAGCTGCGGGCTGTGAGCCTTGTGGCACCAAAAGTGCACGTGCTGCTGATGCTGCACGCGCCTCGTTTTTTTGATGTTGTTTTTGTTGGGAGGGGAAAAAATGTAGAAAAGGCTGGTCTTAGGGGGTGGGGGGTAGATGGTTGCCTGTTCTGTTTTCTTTTTCACATTTCAACGCGTGAACCACCTTATCCGTTTTTTCAAGGCTGATTTTGGGGGCATGAAATAACGATATGGATGTGGTAACGAATTGATGATTTGGTCCCCTGTCTCGTTCCAGATTTCAACTTTTAGTTTTATTGATTGAAAGAGGTTAGGACTTTCTGTGGATTCATGGGTTGGCTTTTGGGCGGTTGTTGTGGTTTGTCATTTAATGAAATGTGTATAGATTAAAAGTTCACTATAATTATAACATATAAGAATATAAATGATATAATTATGGTTTAGTTATGAATTACACAGGTTCATCAACAATTAGTTTAAACCTTATGTTTTGTACTCCTCCAAAATTCATTCTACTTCTTTCATCATCAATACAACTGTATATTGTTTGATGTGCCTCTATCATTACTTCGGTTATATTATCTATGGTTATATTATCTACAAAATCATCACTATGAAAATGAAAACTAAAAGTGTTAAAATGGTCGTCTTCATAATTGAAATGATGAAACCTTACAAACATATTTACCTCAACTATTATCACTGCTTCATAACCGTTATCGGTTTCAATGCCATCTAACAAACAATCTAAGTTTTCATTTTCATTAAACACTATATCTTTGATGCTTTTTATGCTTAAAGGTATATTTCTTGAAATGTAATACTCAATTACGTGTCTCTTTATATCATCGCCATCTTCAACAGTATAGCGCTTTGTCTTTCTTTTTGTTTCTGTTCTGTCTATTTTATATCGTTGTTGTATTCTCTTTAATGTCTTAATATGATTATGTTTTAGTTTCAAATACTCAGGTCGCCCTAATTTATATGCAATGATACCTTTTAATACATCAGCAGGTAAGCTAGCGCAATTCTCAAATATAAAATTATTCTCTGACATTTTACCCTCACTCATTTTTCTCTTAATATATAAGGTTTTTTCTCTTTAAGTAGTTTTTTTTTTTTAATGTTAAGGGGTGGAGGTTATATCGATAAAAAATATTTTCTAACAAATAATATAATGGCGAGATTAACGAAAGACCAAATAATCAGCAACATCTATTATGACTTAGACGAGGGTTTCGGAAGCACACATGCAACACACAAGAAGGCAAAGGAAGAAGACCCAACGATAACATTAGAAGATGTAAAGTCTTTCTTAAAGAAACAACCAAATAAACAAATCAAAAATTATAGAGGCACTAATTCCTATACCGCTCCCTTCGCACGATATGAATATCAAATAGACATAATGCATATGTCACCTTTAGCTAAAGACAAGAACGTTCCACAGTATGCTTTAGTCGTGATTGACATCTTCAGTAAATTAGCAGATGCAATTCCGATGGAGGAAAGAGACGGAGAGCACGTTCTAAAAGCACTAAGAGCAAGTTTTAAAAAGATGGGTTATCCGATGTCTGTGTATTCTGATGATGATGGAGCATTTGCAACCAAAAACCAAGTTCAGGATTTCTTCAACAGCGAAGGTATCAAACACATAATAACGAAGACACACGCAAATGTAGCCGAACGTTTTATTAGGACAATGAAAAACAAAATTCATGATAGAGCTAGGTTTAACAATATGAAATGGACCGATGCCTTAACACCAGCATTGAAACAGTATAACAGCACATTACACTCGTCAACAAGGATGACACCAACCGAAGCACACAAGGACGACAATGAAATAAATGTAAAGGTCAATCTGAAACTACGAGAAAAGAACAAAAGAAAGTATCCCAGAATACAGGAGAACGATAAGATAAAAGTGTTTCAAAAGAAAAGGGGCAATTACACCGACAGAAAAGAGTATAACTCTAAATGGTCTAATAAGATATTCAATGTTGATAAAATTGAATATGATATTATGGGTAATAAAACTTACAGAGTAGCAGGAATAAACAAACCACTTCTGAGACACGAAATTTTGTTAGTTAATGATTAAACATATTTCTTGGTATCTTCAATATACTTGACTTGGTAGAAATCCAGACTTGATTGTTTAGGTTCTTTAATAACTTTTTCATTAAGTTTTTTAATATATACATTTCGTTTATTCTTGTATTCAGTGCTCTCTCTATCAACTTCTTTTGGTTGGTAATTATTAGTATTATTGTAAGCTGGTTTCTTCATACTTTCTAACAGTTGATAAATGCGTTTATTTTGTTCCATTATTTCATCAATTTTCAAAAATAGTTTATCCACACCTTCCATATATACTATATTATAAAACTAAAGTTTTAAAACTAAATATTTTAATTTCGAATGTCTCTGTTTCTTAAATGTTTAAATTCTTCGCCTTCTACCATAACTCTAACAATGTTATCTAAATCTTTTTGAGTATGTCCACATACTAGCGCTTTGTCCAGATATAAATATTCATAGCTAAGACCAACACTAAGTAATAAACAGTTATATTTTTTAGTTTGAGTACGAGTTAAGACTATTTTACATCCACACTTACAAGTATAATAACTAACACCATTATAATTATTGTCTCCAATTTGCCTGTCTAATTCAAGTGCTCCAAAATGTAAATGTGTTAAACTTGAAAATTCAATCATATACTATATTATTCAACTATACTTTTAAAACTAAATGTTTAAATTATGTTAATTCTAGTCTTTAAATACTAATTTTTCATCATTTGTTTAATAGTTTCCTGTGTTTCGTTATCAACATTATCTGACGTTGTAGCTTCATTTCCAAATTTGATGCAAATATTATGAGCATCTGTTTCTAAGTTGATGCCGTCTTTAGTTTTATCAATGTTCATTTTCTTATCATTTTTAGATATTTTGAACCCTATTGGCACACAACTGCATTTGCAATTACCCTTATTTTTTATTTCTAATTCATTTCTAAGTTCTAACATCTTTTTACACATAGGACAAGCAAACTCAGTGACTGATGCTTCTTTAACAATTTCTTCATCAGTTGATGAAACACTTAAACCTGTCTTATTATTTTTGTTTTTCTTTTTTGGCATTTATATTAATATTTATATTTTTAATATATTGTATCAAAAACTTAATTAATTCTAAAATAAAATAACATATTTTTTTACATCTATTATCAGTTATGACAACCCGTTCTATATTCTCCATTTCATTTATTATATTAATATAATCTGTATAACTCCTTTTCATATTAAATAATAAGATAAATTATTTTTCATTTCTGTCTTTCTTTTCTTGTAAAGTTTTTTCATTGTATCGTCTTTAATCCATCTATATTCTACAAATTTCTGATGATATTTTGAATTTAGATGTTTAAATAAATATTTGTCATCATAAGTTTTACCACAACTGCAATGGATAATAGTCATATAAATAATAAGATAAAATAGTTATTTAATCTTATTATTTTCATGCATAATAGAATATTGGTGGGGCACAGCACTTGGGGTTTTCATTGCATACGCGAGCAAGACACAAAACTAATTATCTTCAATACTTATTGACTGAAGTTGATGAAAGAGCCTGTTCTACTACGATAGACACCATTCATATCATAGCAATGCTTTCATACAATAAATAATATTAATTTATTTTCTAAATATTTTTAATATTATTATTTTATGCCTGAAGTTCCCATTATAAAACCAATAAACATAACTGATTATGAATTCAAACAATCCAAATATGAACATGTGCCAAAACTACCTTTTCGCTCAATTGTTGTTGCTTCATCAACGGGTGGCAAAACAGTTTTAATTCAAAACCTTATCCTAAATGTTTATAGGGACTGCTTCGCTCGTATATTCATTTTTAGCCCGTCTGTTCATAATGACCCTACCTTCGTTGAAGTCAAGAAATATCAAAAAGATAATATGAAGGTTGATGATGAAAAAGAAAAGTTATATTATGACACCTACCAACCTGAAGAACTGGAAGAAATAATTAACACACAAAGAAAGATAATTCATTATATGAAAGAACAGAAGATGAAGAAACTACATTCAATTTTAATCATAGTTGATGATTTTGCAGACGACCCTAAATTTGTTAGATACAGCAAGTTATTACATGGACTGGCAACGAGAGGCAGGCACGACGCCATTAGTTTTTGTTTAAGCGTTCAAAAATACCGTGTCCTTGCTCCAATCATTAGGTTGAATTCTAGTTCGTTGTATATCTTTAAGTTAAAGAATGTATCAGAGTTAATGTCATTCATTGAGGAAAACTCGGCCATCGTTGATAAAGAGCAACTGTTAAATATGTATCATAAAGCAGTAGATGATAAGCCCTACTCCTTCTTTTATGTTAATATGAATTCCAAAGATGTTAATAATATGTTTTATGTTAGATTTGAGAAAGCTTTTAAAATAAAATAAATCTATTATATATTATAGAATGTTAAAAATGTTTCAAGAAAGAATATATGAAGAACCAGTAAGGTTTTTCGGTGATGACGGACGTAGTCCCTCATCAGGGCGAAGCCGTGATGACATACCAAAACAGATTCAGGAATAACGGAAGCAAAGACTACAACAATTAGTAGAGTGTGAATGTGGTGAAACTTTTTTAATGAAGGATGCTGCTAACCATATTGAAAGTGATTGTCATATTACTTTTAAGGAAGCAGAAAGAATGAGGAAAGAATTAGAAGAACATATTCGTATAGAAAATGATACTGATAGTGATATTGATGATTATAGTGATGGTGATTCAACAAGAGTGCCAGATGATTAAAAAATAACTAAATATGTTAGATTTGAAAAATCATTTAAAACAAAATAAATATTCAAATATATTATGATATTTTATGATTTACCAATAGAAATTAAAAACCTTGTATTATCTTATAGTTTAGGTGATGTTAAATTATTAAAAATAAAAAATAGTAATATTGTTAAAAATTATATTAATAAATATAAACCAGTTTATAAGTCTTAC